GAAAAAGCGCCAAGCGAAAACAGAAATGGCGCCAAGCAAACCCGACAACGGTGACAAGTAAATATAGCAGTATAAGATGGTTACGCAATGAAAATACATGTAAACAATACAGAAATTTAACATTTAAGATAAAAAAATATAACAAGAGCACTTACTTTCTTATTGTTGATCCTTCCCAAGTGGAGGGTCAAGTGTAACTACTGCTTTTAAAAAATTCTGGAAAGTCTCATCGCTGAGTGAGTGATAGCGAGAGCGCCGCCATAAATAATCAGCAAGATAATGGTCGAACATGCCTTCTGCATGGCTGGTGTGAATACGGAGAAAACGTTTTATTGCCGATTAACTTACTATTGGAAAACCACGAATTCTTTCTTATACTTCTGCAAACATGCGTATTCACACCTTTTTTTCGACATCTCCATTCAAATCCATCCAAAACAACACTCTTTCGTTCATTTAATCCCATTTGCTCATTACATTTAGGACATTCATAACTTGAAGCAATTAATCCTTCTTTCATACACCATTCAATCAATTCTTTTTTGCCTCTAGCATTCAATAACGTAAAAAATTCTAACGTGTATTCACTTACAAGCGCAGCCATACTTTCAACCCGGTGCCCAACAACAAAATGAAATTTGAAATGCGCGTCCACAAATGACGAAAATTCTAGAAAAAGTTAGGGTTGCCATATGTTGTATTTAAAAGCAAGGTTACCATGACGGCGCAATTATCGCCAACCAAAGTAATTCGCGCCAAGGGTGGGGGCTCTCCTAGGAGTGAACCGAAATTTTCATTTCAATTTGTTTAAGCTCAAAATTCTAAAATGAGAATAAGGGTAATGATTGAAAAGTTAAGGCTAGGTTCCCTCCTCGTCATTTGTCAGAAAACCAAATTCAAGAGTTTCATCTCCAGCAACAATGTGTTAATTGAGTGCTTCTAAAAATATCAATCCTTACCTTTCAGAACAAGAAGTGTGTGAAAAACAGGTGCGATTCATTTACTAATTTTCTACTTGGCCTGCACTTTTAAAAGGTACAATGGCGGTAAAAAGAACTGGTAATTGTTTAATTACCTTTCAACTATGTCTCATATGAATATCGCAGGGAATCGCAGAATGTCCGAAGCAGACATGACTCGGTGGCGCAAACGTAGCGCATCTGACTCCAGCTCAGAAGGTTGCGTGTTCGAATCACGTCCGGGTCAATGTGTGCACGTTACTTTTGCTCTGCTTTAGAAAAGGAATTTGTGCAAAACATTACTTATGGGAAAATAACTTGTCAATCCACCCTTGAAAATTTCGTAGTTTCTGGGTCACGAATTCCATGTAAAAATTGAAATGAAAAAGGAGAAGAAAGGCTTTGTACTAGTGCCAACAATGTAGGGCGCCCTCATCCAGATGTATATGACTCAGTTTTGAATACTGTTAGAAACCATTGCAAGTATACTTACTTTGCTCTCTACGTATAAAGTGCACGACGATAAATATACGTAAGTTTTAATATGCGAATTTTATTTAATGCCAAAGTATTGTACATATTCTAAATATCATTCCTGATCATGCCAATTAAATATTCAGAAATTTACCCGTTATCGTGACTCGGTGGCGCAACGGTAGCGCGTCTGACTCCAGATCAGAAGGTTAAGACGATACATGTTTAGACTTGAGAAATTAGACAGTTTACAACATACCTTTTCCTAAAATATCCCTGAAAGCCACGTAAATAAATCGCTCCATATTGACTTTTACAGATCGCTCCTTGAATTAGACAGTCCGGGAAATGAACTTAAAATTTAGATACTCATATTGGTAGAACTTGTTGGCATTCATGTGTATTTGTTTTTTCATCTATTGTAAGTATTAAGGAAACGTTTTAATAAATTAGTCCATATTTACACGACGAAGCAAGTTTTGTCTGGTTATTTCATCCTCCAACATTTCTTACATTTCGCGAATTAAGATAATATTTTTATGCTTTTTACTTCTTACACCTTGAACAAACTATTGTCACAAAGTTTCACACTTTAAGATATTTTTTATTGCGTAAAATTTCCATTTTTAAGACTACTTCGCATAGTATGCAGTTTCTACAACGAACCAGGGCGTGTGACTCGGTGGTGCAATGGTAGCGCGGCTGACTCCAGATCCGAAGGTTGCGTGTTCAAATCACGTCCGGGACAAACAAAATTTTTGATTGTTTTTTTTTTATTTTTTCTTCCGTCTTAAGAAAGAGTATGGATTTACACTATTAATCAAGCAATAATCTTCTAAAATTCCGATTTTTTTTGTTTATCTAATATAGAGTGCGTATCATTAGGGTTCCAATAAGAAATTTGCATTTCAATTTGTTTAAGCTCAAAATTCTAAAATGAGAATAAGGGTAATGATTGAAAAGTTAAGGCTAGGTTCCATCCTCGTCATTTGTCAGAAAACCAAATTCAAGAGTTTCATCTCCAGCAACAATGTGTTAATTGAGTGCTTCTAAAAATATCAATCCATACATTTCAGAACAAGAAGTGTGTGAAAAACAGGTGCGATTTATTTACTATCTTTCTACTTGACCTGCACTTTTAAAACCTACAATGGCGGTAAAAAGAACTTGTAATTGTTTAATTACCTTACAATTCTATGTCTCTTAAAAATATCGCAGGGAATCGCAGAATGTCGACAGCAGTCAAGACTCTATGCCGCAACGGTAGCGCGTCTGACTCCAGATGAGAAGGTTGCGTGTTTTAATCACGTCCGGGTCAGTGTAGTGGTGATTGCTTTTTTAATCAGGTGTGAGTTGATGCGCGGTGAACCGGATTTTTTCCCTTTACTTTAGTAATTATTCAGTTGCCTTAACGTAATGAACGAATTTTCTCAGAATGTGACATATTTCGCATCGCCAAGGCTCTATATTACCGCCTTTGAATCTAAATGGGCAAATGGTCTGATTCCACCACGTCCGAATGTGAGGTGGTTGGCTTTGTTATATTCTTAAATCTTGCACAGGACTATTGTAGAAAATATCAAGAATTAAATGATGTGCTTTTCGTATGTCCCTGAAGATGACAGTATCCATGCAAGAATGCAACAAGTATTACTCGACAAAAATCCAACAGCAGTGTAATGCATATTTCTAATATTTTTTTTAATTCCACATTCGACCTACTTTGCTTAGTCCGTCACTGTGTAAGAGCATAAGAAAACTTTTCTGCATGTGGCTTTCAACGTGTGGGCAGAGCATCAATAGAAACAATCTTTTGTGGGACGATGGATAAGACGAGACATGTAACGTGTGGCGCAGTATAGCCAAATTTGTCTCTTGCGCCATAAAACCCAACATTCACTCACTCACTCAAGACGAGACATTTTTAGACTTGAGAAATTAGGCAGTTTACAACAAACCTTTTTCGAAAATATCCCTGAAAGCCACGTAAATAAATGGCTCCATATTGACTTTTACAGATCGCTCCTTGAATTAGACAGTCCGGGAAATAAACTTAAAATTTAGATACTCATATTGGTAGTACTTATTGGCATTCCTGTGTATTTGTTTTTTATTCTGTTGTAAGCATTAAGAAAACGTTTAAATAAATTAGTCCACATTTACACGACGAAGCAAGTTTTGTCTGGTTATTTCATCCTCCGTCATTTCTTACATTTCGAGAATTAAGATAATATTTTTATGGCTTTTACTTCTTACACCTTGAACAAACTATTGTCACAAGGTTTCACACTTTAAGATATTTTTTCTTGCGTAAAATTTCCATTTTTAATACTACTTTGCATAGTATACTGTTTCTACCACGAACTAGGGCGTGTGACTCGGTGGCGCAACGGTAGCGCGTCTGACTCCAGATCAGAAGGTTGCGTGTTAAAATCACGTCCGGGTCAAACAAATTTTTTGATTGTTTTTTTTCCGTCTTAAGAAAGAGTATGGATTTACACTATTAATCAAACAATAATCTTCTGAAATTCCGATTTTTTTTATGTAATATAGAGTGCGTATCATTAGGGTTCCAATAAGAAATTTGCATCCGGTGTATTGAAACCCATTCAATTTGTTTAAGCTCAAAATTCTAAAATGAGAATAATGGTTATGATTGAAAAGTTAAGGCTAGGTTCCGTCCTCGTCATTTGTCAGAAAACCAAATTCAATATTTCCATCTCCAGCAACAATGTGTTGATTGAGTGCGTCTAAAAATATCAATCCTTACATTTCAGAACAGGAAGTGTGTGAAAAACAGGTGCGATTCATTTACTAATTTTCTACTTGGCCTGCACTTTTAAAAGGTACAATGGCGGTAAAAAGAACTGGTAATTGTTTAATTACCTTTCAACTATGTCTCATATGAATATCGCAGGGAATCGCAGAATGTCCGAAGCAGACATGACTCGGTGGCGCAAACGTAGCGCATCTGACTCCAGCTCAGAAGGTTGCGTGTTCGAATCACGTCCGGGTCAATGTGTGCACGTTACTTTTGCTCTGCTTTAGAAAAGGAATTTGTGCAAAACATTACGTAGGAAAATAACTTGTCAATCCACCCTTGACAATTTCGTAGTTTCTGGGACACGAATTCCATGTAAAAATTGAAATTAAAAGGAGGAGAAAGGCTTTGTACTAGTGCCACCAATGTAGGGCGCCCTCATCCAGATGTATATGACGCAGTTTTCAATACAGTAAGAAACCATTGCAACTGTACTTACTTTGCTCTCTACGTATGAAGTGCACGACGAGATGAATATACGTAAGTTTTAATATTCGAATTTAACGTAATGCCAAAGTAATGTACATATTTTAAATGTCATTTCTGATCATGTCAATTATATATTCAGAAATTTATCTGGTATTGTGGCTCGGTGGCGCAACGGTAGCGCGTCTGACTCCAGATCAGAAGTTTGCGTGTTCAAATCACGTCCGGGTCAAACAAATTTTTTGATTGTTTTTTTTTTCTTCCGTCTTAGGAAATAGTATGTATTTACACTGTTGATGAAACAATAATCTTATAAAATTCCGATTTTTTTTTCTACAATAGACTGCGTTTAATTAGGGTTCCAATAAGAAATTGGCATCCGGTGTATGGAAACCCATTCAATTTGTTTAAGCTCAAAATTCACAAATGAAAATAATGGTTATGATTGAAAAGTTAAGGTTAGGTTCCGTTCTCGTCATTTGTCAGAAAACCAAATTCAAGAGTTTCAAGTCCAGTAAGTATAAATTACCTGAGTATTTCTAAAACAATCAGTCCTTACATTCCAGAACAGGAAATGTGTGAAAAACAGGTGTGATTTATTTACTATCTTTCTACTTGACCTGCACTTTTAAAAGCTACAATGGCGGTAAAAAGAAATGGTAATTGTTTAATTACCTTACAATTTTATGTCTCTTAAAAATATCGCAGGGAATCGCAGAATGTCGGAATCAGTCAAGACTCTATGCCGCAACGGTAGCGCGTCTGACTCCAGATCAGAAGGTTGAGTGTTCGAATCACGGCCGGGTCAATGTGAGCACGTTACTTTTGCTCTGCTTTAGAAAAGGAATTTGTGCAATACATTACTTTGGAAAATAACTTGTCAATCTCCACCCTTGGCAATTTCGTAGTTTATGGGACTCGAATTCCATGTAAAAATTGAAATCAAAAATTAGAAGAAAGGCTATGTACTAGTGCGACCAATGTAGGGCGCTCTCATCCAGATGTATATGACGCAGTTTTCAATACTGTTAGAAACCATTGCAAGTATACTTACTTTGCTCTCTACGTATGAAGTGCATGACGATAAATATACGTATGTTTTAATATTCGAATTTTACTTAATGCCAAAGTACTGTACATATTTTAAATGTCATTCCTGATCATGTCAATTACTCGGTGGCGCAGCGGTAGCGCGTCTGACTCCAGATCAAAAGGTTACATCTTCGAATCACGTCTGGGACCGGGTCAGTGTAGCGGTGATTACTTTTTGAATCAGGTGTGAGTTGATGCGCGGTGAACCGGATTTTTTCCCTTTGCTTTAGTAATTATTCAGTTGCATTAACGTAACGAACGTATTTTCTCAGAATGTGACATATTCCGCATCGCCATGGCTCTATATTACCGCCTTTCAATCTAAATGGGCAAATGGTCTGATTCCACCACGTCCGAATGTGAAGTGGTTTGCTTTGTTATATTCTTAAGTCTTGCACAGGACTGTTGTAGAAAGTATCATGAATTAAATGATG